ACTAGACTCTTGACGAATAAACCGTATTAAAGCGTCTAAATCTATAATTTTACTAGTTTTATTTACACTATTTACATAGAAAACAAGAGGAAGAAACTCTTTCCTCAAATATTTATAATAACATTTCTGTTTTTTATTTTTTTATACCAGAAAATATGTAAGAGAACATACACGATGTTTACCATTAATAAACACGAGGAATATATCAGTACATCAAGTATAATATTTAAAAAAAAGAGAAAGGAAAATGTGTGCCAACTCCCACTCTAAGTTTAATTGATATTTTAAAGAGGCATCCCAAGCTAGAAAGGTTTAAAAACGAAAGAAAAATTGTAGATAAAACTGCAGCCTTCCCGAACGTGGATACCAGCAACGGTGATGTGAGAGTCCACGTGTTGCGAGTGGATCAATACCTTCGTCCTGAGCCAGGAGATTTCTGTCTGTCCCGCCGCCACACGCAAACTTCTGAACAGTCGTCCATTGATTGGCGTCGTTGGACCCGAACGACAACTCGACCTGTTTCTTCCACGTGCTAATTAGATGGAAACTCTCTCGTGCCCCTTGAAATTTTAATATATATCACACCCGATCCCTGACGATTTGCCAAAGTTACAGTCATGGAAAAATTTCCGATACGTTTCGTTCTTTTTAAAAGAAAATGTTAGAAATCCTTCCTTTTCGCTCCTTCAACAAGACGTTATATATATCTAAGTAGCATAATTTAACGATTCTTTAAACATTTATTCTCCAAATATAATTTATTTCTCTGGTAATATTTATAGAATCGTATTCTGGTGTGAATTTCCTGAAAACTTATGTCAAAGATTGTAATTTTGCCATTGGATCGTACGCGGAGTAATGGAAAATTTTGTATATTATTAAATTAAATTCGTTTTCTTTAATTTTTAATGAAATTTTTAAGATGATTTAATTAGAAATCTTCAATAATAAAATATTTAAATCGATAATTTCTTGTGTGAAATTGAGGGGGGAAAAAATAAGATAATAATTATTGTGAAATGTATACGAATTTAGTGAAAATTTTTATTATCGCACGTTCAAATTGAAAATTTTCGAGTGTAAAAGTGTTAAAATTTCGCGCAATTTAATTGATCTTCGTGAAAATTCAAGCAGGAAATAAATAGGAAGTCGTTTATTATGCGCTATCGACTTGTATTTCGATGAAAATTCGCTTGGTTTCGTGTAAATTTCGTACAAATTTTCAACGAAAATTGAAATGAGTAATACGTAATTTTTTCATCAAACTTACGAAAAAAAAATTCATATATATATATACAAAGTTAAAAAAATAATAATAAAAAATTACGAAAAAATATTCTTTATACACCCGAATTTCACGAAATTTCAATATAACAATTTAAAAAGAAAAATTCATTAAATTAATTAATAAAAAGCAAAAAATAAGTGTAAATTAGAGGAAAAAAAACCACTGTTAAATTTCTTACAATTGTATGGAAGAAGAAGAAGAAGAAGAAGAAGAAGAATATATTAATTACAATTTTATTTTTTAATATAACGCTTAATAATAATAATTATCATCCAAGAAAATCTAAAAACGTGTAAATATAAGTATACACAAGTAAGTCACATTTACAAGCGTACGAAAAATATCATCATTGGTATGTAAAAAAAAAATAATAATAATAAAAAATAAAAAAAATTCAATCGATGAACAACGTTTAAATATCACATTTTAAATAACTGTTAAGTATTTGTGATAAACACGTAACGTTTTTTCGATAGGCGTAACCCNCCTACTGATGTTACACATTTGTTACAGGTTTCTGAACTTTTGTTTTCTGTACTTGTTATTAAATATGTAATATATATATATATATATATATATATATATATATATTTTATATTTTTCGTTCGCGTGCATCCATCATCCTAAAGGAAGATGGGCATTTTGAAACGTAGTTCCTTCTTCTGCTGGTTGAGTTAATCGCGATCAATGACGTCCTTGAAATTTATTTATTCGTGAGCGTGATCTTCGATCAATTAAGAAATGCTAAGAGATTGCATCATTTTTTTTTTTTGGAGAAAACAAATTCCTACGTGTCCACGGATCACGTAAAGAACAATTACGAAAACTTACATGAGAAAAATGTTCGAGTCGGTGCGTGAAAATATCATCATCATCGTCCTCCTCCTCCTCCTCCTCCTCTCTCTGCTCCTTCTCCCTCTCTCTCTCTCTCTCGCGCGCGCTTTCTCTCCTCCCGAAATCTGGAAGTGTCTGCTGAAGATATTTTACTTAAATGATCTGAAACGTTTACGAATTTCACTTGTATAACGTCACCAACTGAAAAAGTATTTCGTTGAAAAAATATTATGATGATGTGTTTTTGGATGCAGATTTGAAAAACTCTGTTGTACATAGTTGTAAAATTAATGACTACTTCGAATTGTTAAAAAAAAAAAGAAAAAATGTTCTTTTTCTTGGAAAAAATCTAAGTTCCTTCAAAAGAATTCTCTTCAGTTAATGCGTACAATCGTTATTGTACGTGTTCATAATGTTCAACGTATGGGCAATGTACGATGTAACGCTGAAGTTCACAATGGATCCTCATTGATTGCTGGGAAACCATTAACAGAAGCTCTGTGCTTGAAATTAGGAAGAAGAGCTGGCGAATCCTCAAGAAAAAAAAAAAAAAGGCTCGAATCTTTCATTAGAAGAGAAGAAATGATACTTAAATCTTAAATTTTAGAAAGTAGCAAGTGCTCTAACGATAGAAGATTCTTAAGTAGATATTAATAATTAAACTGGAGATCCTCAAATTGAGAAGAACTTTATAGATAGAAGTTAATAAAAATCAAATCTCATTGGTCAGAATCTTCATCTTTGGAAGAAGAAGAAGAAGAAGAAGAAGAAAGAGAGAAACGAGTCATCAGAAAGGTCGAGTTTATCGTTGAGGATCTATTGCGATCCTCATCGATAGAAGCCAAGATAAAGGAGTTAGAGAAAATATTATATAAAATTCTAGAACTTAGCATCGAATAAATTTTTTTGAATTAAATTCTATCAATTTTTGAATTTAAAAAAAGAAGAAGAAGAAGAAGAAGAAGAAGAAGGGGAAAAAATACAGCTTCAACTTTAAAAGATAATTTTCATCGAAATCGAGGGACAAATCGAAATTCCTTAATCTTCGAGACGTAGAATGGTAGCCATATTAATCCAAAACAAATTTGTACAAGTTTGTACATTGAAGTACACGTTAACTCACACGAAAAAATAAAAAAAGAGAGAGAGAGAGAGAGAGAAAATTCTCTCGCAGAAAGTTTCATCAGTCGGAGTAATTTTTGCAGTTAGTAGCAGCAGCAGTTGGGTTACTTCATTAATTTGTTGCCGTTCGGATATAATTACCTACCAGGTCCCTATTGGGCTCGGACACTATAATTTAACTCCGAGTAATCGATATAACCCGAATTATTTTGTTCCGAGACGGGACGACGCTAATTTTCTTCCGATGACGTCAAGCGTATTAGTGGTCATTTATGAGATAAGAAAGCGCTCGAATATGGTCATGGTATCCTACCCCTTTTCGGAATTTTTGTTCTTTGGAGGAAGGTTTTGAGTTCGTGCTTATCTGACGCATCTCGTCCGGTGGTTGGGTCGCAGACGGGAGTCGGTACAGCGACTAGACTCTATTCTGAATCACAGAAGGCACGATAATGGCGGGGAGGGGACTTTTTTGACAATAGAGAACCTTCCAATTAACTACCTTACAACAGACGCGTCGGCGGCCGAAAGAGATATTTTCAAATTTGTAAAGTTTTATTGAGAATTGTTCATTTTAAAAGCTATGGGCTATTAATGTCTGCTACAGTCGTTTTTAACCCACAGTGTTTAATAATATCGACGTACTGTACGCGCACCCTTCGAATTCTATAGTGTTTAACGTCCAGATAATGTATGCCATCCATTACGTTTAATAAAGGGTGAAAATGTGTCAACTCATTATGTTTAACATCGAAATACGAACATTTTTAACCTCATAAATTCCAATTCTGAAGTAGAATTTATAACTCTTAACATTCGATATCAACCTATCGTCGTTTTAAATGCCCAATATGGAGTCGAGAAACTTTCGCCACTGGAAATTTTTAACGTTAAAACACGAACATTAACAGCCCATAGCGTTTGATACTAAATTAAGGACAGACATTTACAATCAGCAACGTTTAATGTCGAGTCTCGAACGGCCCATGGCGTTTGTTGTTCGAAATTTAGGTCACTTTCGATTCGTTACAAATGCGAAATATTTTAGCCCATGACGTTCGATGTAAGTGGAATAACCCATGGAGACACACGTAGGAGTCTGGATAGTCGCAGTCAATGCAGCTTTTTGTTAAAAAGTCACGGACATTTTCGACCCATAACGTGGAATGTTGGTATGACATTAACAACCCAATTGCTTAATACGACGACTGGAATCGGCCCATAGCGTTTAATTACACGTAATATTAAATGAAAAACTTTGCGGAATTGTCGGGTGGGGGACGTCGCGGGTTCGGTCATCAAGAAAAGTTTTTGTTTTGCGCCAAAATTCGAAACGCGTACATCATTCGGATTTTATAAAGGACTTTGTAAAATATAAACTAATTTTATGGCGAAAGAGGTGACGTTATTGAATGCCGGTTCAAACTGTAGTGCGAGTTGGCACCATAACAACCGGGCGTCCGATAGCTTTATTGAGCGACGGTTTGGACCCGGGTAGAAGAGGGCGACCGATTTTACGGTAACAGATTAGGAGAGCGCTGGGAGGACGCTACGAGCACCGTACCTACCGCTTTTGCGATTGCACGCGATCAATGCAACATAGCCGATAGGCCTAACTGCCATCTCGGAATTGGCGAAAAAACTTTTTAGCTATCGTATCCTAGGAGGGAGGAGGAGAAAGAGGAGGAAGAGAGTAGGGTAAAAAAAAGGCGGCCCATTCCCTTACAGGGGGAAAAAATGATAAAAAGTTGTAACTTACCAGGAATCTCGAGCACGGTACGTACAGCACGTGCTCGTTCTTTTTGGCGTCGAGAGTGTGCTCGGAACATGGAGGTCCCATACGGAAACCTTTGGCCTTCACCCAAAAGCGAAACTTGGAATTTTCGGCATTGGTCTGTTCCTCTCCCTTGAGGATTTTGACGATGCGGTGGTACTTCTTGCGGGTGACGGTCTTGGTTTTTGCCGTGTCGCCGTAAGTCTTCATGGCCCACGACTGGAAACTTTCGAACATGTCAGTTCTGGCGTCGGACCAGCGACCGGCCTGGTTGGTGGCAGCGGCCGTGCTGGAGGTGGCTTTTCCGTTGGCAGCGGCCGCTGCTGCCGCTGCCAAGGCGGCGGCGTGCCTGGTGTTGTGTCTCCTCTCCATTGACGTAGATATGTTTCTGGGCGCCGCCGTCCTCCGTCTCGTCCAGCCGCGGTAGGTGGCAGGTGTCCCGCTACGGTAGATGCGCTCGCTGGGTACCAAACTCCGCCGCTGCTGTCCTCTCCGTTGGCGGTGCATGTGAGGGCTACCCTGCTTCACCAGCTACGCCCACTGCCTCTCTGGGAGCCCATCAGGCCAGCCACTCATCTCACTTCTGCTATCGGCTTTCCTCCCCCTCACTCGCTGGCCCGCGCGCTCTGACGGAGCCTCACCTCCACCCGGCCTCACCTGCCAGGTCCGAACTACGGGTACGGATTTGCACTATTCTCTCTTCTCGTTCTCGTCGTCTTCTCGCGCGTTCTCCGCCAGACGCCGAGATACGGTCCCGTCTGCAGAAAACCGCAAACTACTATCCCAGACGGCTCGTGTGCCAGACCTTAATTGAGCAGGATATCTTGGCGCCGTCCCCTTAAGTCGCCGTCCGTCCGGGGTCGAGCCGTTCCTCTCGTCCTACACCTGACGATGCCGCTCCAAGACTGATGTCTTAAAATGCTGCCGGGTGGGTATATGCCTGCTATATACGTACGTTCTTGCGTAGCGGATGCGAGATTTGGAATTGCATCGCGCAGCCGGAGGATGTCTTCTATATATGTTGGGACGACTGCTATTGTCCCGTCGATTCCTCCCCGCCTTCTAACTTTCGCCGCTTTATTAAAATGTCCCACTCACGCATCTCGAACATCCGCACGTCTAATTTTTTATATTTATTTTTTTATATCTATACGTCGACACCTTCTACCCACGTGCTCGATTATTTATTTAAAATTCACTTCCCGACGTCCCACCCCGTCCGAATTCGGTCCCGCTCTCTCTTCCGACGTCTCGTGTCGCAAATCACGTGTTAAGTATGTCTGGACGTGTCGACGTATGCTGCTACGGGTGCGGTTGACATCGCCCGAAAATTTCGTCTCTCTCCGGACTCGTGCTCTATATGCTTTGTTCGACGGGATAGACTTCTACCCGTACCGTCGTCAAGGTAACCACCCCACAGTCCCATACGGGGATATGTGTGTGTGTATACTCGAAGCACGTGATCATTTCGCTGACGTCATACAGGTGAGAGAGCAGGTGAGAGGCAAAGCGAGGCAGAAGCCAGCTTCGCTCTCGGCCTACGAGGGGAAACCAGAGCGTACCCTCCCAACCCGACTGGCAACGTTGCATGGGTCGTAAGAGGGGAAGCACCACAACGTCGACGTATTCATTAAAGGCACCGGAAAAGTGGATTCTATTTCCGGTTTATCACTCCACCGAAAAATCGCGGAATATTTAAGAAGATAGAGGAATCATATAGTAAATATAAACGAATTTTAAAGCAAATGTCGGAGGGAAGACGGTAGAACAGCGTAGTGTTATTCTAACCACTTTTCTGGTTACGGTATTGATCCGTACGTTCGGCCCCACTCGTGTATAAAGTGAGCCCGAAGCCTGTGGGTACCGCAACGTAGTCCAGACGGGGCAACGCTGATATATTAACCCTAGAGTGGCACAAAAGCGAAGCAACGTGTGCCTAAGCGTGCCTGTAACCAGTTTATCGGGTTTCCTGTTCAATAAGTCATTGGCGTCTCCCCCCTTTTCGTGGCACTGGGATAGTTTGATGGGTGCCATCATTGTACCCTTCACAATTTGGGTGCCCTATTTATAATAACTAAATGTTAGACAGAGAAAGGGTAGCGAACCACTACAATGTCCACTTCAATGTGTTTTAATTAATTATTCATATTTATATTTAATAAATAAATTACTTGTCTTAAAAATAATACTACTCGCTCAATGTTTCTTACGCTCTATCTGTAGATTTTATATATTATTATTATTATATATATAATAAGATCTGATTTGTTTCCGGAAGAAACAATGTTTCCAGCTTCCTAATATTATTAAATGTATTATGACGATCCTCAGTAAAAATTTTTAATTAAAATTTAAATTTTAGTAGGATTTAGTAGGAGATCATCCACTGTAAAATTTCATTCCGTACTAAAAATCTGTACTTAATTTTTATACTTAAATTTTAGTTAGATAATTTGATTAAAATTTTTGAATTTAACAGGGGATTTATTCCTTCCCCATCTAAAATTAGTACTGATTTTGGATTAAATTTTAAACATATCCTATTAAATCGTACTAAAATTTTAATAGGATTATCCTATTTATTTTTCTTTAAAAAAAAAAAAAATTAGTTAAGCGATTTCCCTACTAAAATTCCTAACGTAGTAAGGATCATCCAGTTAAATCCTGTTAAATTTTTTTTTTTAATTTAATTTTATTTAGATCAATCGCACTAAAATTATAATTAAAATTTATTTCATTACATTAAAAACTCGTTGTTTTATTTATTTATTTTTTAAAAATATTTAACAAGTAAAAAATATACAAATTAATAATTTTTTTTTTCTTGAATTTTTATAAATTT